AAAATTGGAGAAGTTCACACATTATCAAGATCTAAAAATAAAAATTGAAAGATTATGGCATAACCCGTCCTTAGAATGCCAGTGGTTATTGACAGTGGATGCCATACCAAAAAAATATTGGACATTACTTAGAAAATCTTTGCATTAATACAGTTGGCCACCCTGCGTGGATCCACACATATACTATGCCAATACATTATGAGATCCCAGGTTCTTGGGAAGAATTTGATGTCTATGAAGACCAAGATCAGCTAAAGAACTGGCAGCTGTGATCTCATATTGTTGTCCTTATATACAGTAGTAGTCTATGTGCAATGGAACATAATAATAACTCATGAAAAAGGTATTATCTGACCAGTACATAAAAAATAGCAGGCAAATAGATAACAATAAGGTTAGAAGCATGAAAATTGAAGAATGAGACAGAGGGGCTGCACAAGACCAAGCCTTAAAAAAAAACACATGCAAAACCAATATTGAGAAGACTACAACAGAGAGCAAATGCCACCTCTGCCAGGAAGCTGAAGAAACAGCAAACCATCTAGTTTGCTGCTGCAAGAAGATCACACAGATTGACTATAGAAAACAGCATGACAAAGTAGCAACAATGGTGCATTGGAATACTGTACTGTATCTGCAAGAAATATCATTTGCCTACAGGCAAGAACTAATGGGACCACAAAATAGACAAAAGTAATAGAAAATGAAGAAGCTGAAGTGCTCTGGGACTTTAGAATTCAAACAAGCAAGCATCTGCCACATAACACTTCAGACTTAATTACTATTGATAAGAAAGTCAAAAAAGAATGGATAGTGGTTATGTTAATACCTGGAGACAGTAGAGGATAAGAAAAAGAACTGGAGAAAATCACAAAATACTGTACAAAGACCTGCACATAGAAGTAGAATGACTGTGGCAAGAGAAGACAAAGATAGTACAAGTAATAATAAATGCCTTGGGTGCAATCCCAGAAACATCTGGAGCATCACTTGAACACCATCAGCATTGACAGAATCACCATCTGTCAATTGCAAAAGGCAGCTTTATTTGGAACAGCTTACATCCTGTGATGATGATTATATCATCAAACAACATCTCCCTATCCCAGGTCTTTGGGAAGGATTCAAAAGGTGGATAAAAATGGCTGATTGTAGGACAAACCATAATAATAATTGGCTGTTTGATCAATGGCTGCAGCAAAATTTCACAAATTGACTATAAGCAACTTCATGACCAAGTTGCCAGAATTATTTATTGGAAGCTTTGCCAGAGGTTTGGATTTGAATATAGTTAAAGCTACTGGGACTATCAAGTTGAGATGTTTCTGGAAAATGAGTGGGTTAAGATCTTAAGGGACTTTAAGATCCATATAGATAGACCTTCTTTGTAACATGCCTGATATAACAGCTTTTGAAAAGAAGAAAATCTGTTTCATCAATGTTGCTATTCTGGGTGATGCTAGGATTGAGGAAAAACAATTGGATAAAATTACAAGATACCGGAACTTGCAGATCAAAATCAAATGCTAACGGGGAGCGGGGTGGGGGGGGCGGGATCCATTGTTATCCCTGTCATGATTGGAGCCTTCAGAACAATACCTAAAGGACTTCCTCAACATCTCAAAATATTGAATTTATCAGCTTTGAACATCCTAATTTTACAAAAAACAAAACCAAAAAAAACCCCTCCATCCTGCTTGGAATCGCCTATATTTTTAGTTGCTGCCTTAATAATTTTTAGGTCTTTTTTTTAATTTATAAACTTTATTAAAACACATATAAAACACATATAAAAACACATATAAAAACATTTACACAACAAACAACATGTAAATAAATTAAACTTTTGAAGCATTTGTTTCGTATTAATTTTCCAATTAGTATGGTTATAGTTATTCCCCTTAATCTTACTCTAATAATTTTCTTTTTCATTTCCCCCCCTTACTTTCATCCCCTAAAAATTCCCCCCTTAGTAATCTATATAATATATATTGAGATTATATCTTTCTTTTTAAGTTTCCCTCTATAAATTTATCCGCCCGTAGGGAATTATTTGTATACATATTTACATTTCTATTCTATCTTTCTTCTAATTGTGTTTCTTCAATAGTGACGTCGTACCATTGGTACCATTTATCCCATATTTTATAGTACTCTGTCTAAATATTTTATTTTCTTCATTATTTGGATTTGTATGCTATTCTCCAGTTCTGTCTCCTGAGTTTTTCGTAAGATTTTTAACTATTAGTTTCTATTTATTTCTATTTATTTTTAGGCCAGCCACCTCTCCAAATTCCTCTATTTTCTTAAACAGTTTTGGCACTACTTCCAATGGCTCTTCTGTTATAAATACAAGGTCATCGGCAAAAGCCTGGACCTTGTATTCCTCTCATCTTATTTTTAACCCTTTAATTTCTTGGTGTTCTCTAATTTTTTTTAACAGGATCTCCAGTGTTAAAATAAACAATAGTGGAGAAAGTGGACAGCCTTGCCTAACCTCTTTTGTTATATCGAATTGATCTGTCATATCGTCACTTAGTATTATTTTTGCTGTTTGCTTTGTGTATATTTCTCCTATAATTTTTTCAAGATTTGATCCGAATTGCATAATCTCTAATTGCCCTTTTAAAAATTTCCAATTTAAGTTATCGAATGCTTTTTGGGCATCGAGGAAAACCAGTGAAGCTTGTTTCTCTGGGTGTGCTTCATAATATTCGAGTGCATTTATTATTACTCTCATATTGTTCTTGATTTGGCGGCCTGGCAGAAATCCATTTTGGTCCCGGTGAATGTAGTTATTCAGTAATTTTCTGATTCTTTCTGCTATAATTATTGCAAATACTTTATAATCCGTATTCAGTAGAGATATTGGTCTATAATTTTGAATTAATTGGTGATCAGTGTCATCTTTGGGTATGATTGTAATTATTGCTTCCGTCCAGGATAGTGGGATTTTTGTCTTCTCTAGTGCTAAATAGTGGTGGGGGGAGATGGCGGATGGAAAGAGAAAGTGAGAATGACAAGCGCGCCATAGAAGAACTCAAATAAAGAATTAAAAGTGATTGACAAATGGAAATGTAAATCTGGAACTTGGATTCAATTTGGATTGGATTATAAACTGATTGGTGATATATAAAGGTGAAAAAAGATGTGAAAACTGGATTTTTTCTCTTTTATGACTCGGTAAACACGGATGTGGATTACATATAAAATGGCAATTTGTTAATTAGACAAGTGAAACTGTGGATTATAGAGAGACATTTGCAGGAGAAGGAAGAGCATGACATGGAATTGTTTTACTTTTAAAACCTTGAACTTTTAAAAAAAGATAACTGGTGAGAACTAAGGAGGATACGTTTTGCCTACAAGAGGATAGACTTTGATGATTATAAAAGAAGGTTAATGCGATTTAAAGCTAGAAGAATTCAACCCGGAAAGAATAAAATGGAACAGGAACTTAATGAACTGATAAAGACGATGTGTTTGGAAATAAAAGAAATGATTATAAATTTGCATGGAAAATCGAAATCTGAGGAGGCAAAGACAGAACTAGAATGCACTAAAGATGAAAAGGAAATGACTAACGAGAAACAAGAAAGAGAGATGGATAATGAAGAAGACAAAGACAAAGAGACTGATTATGGAAAATTAAACAATTGTAATATTAAATATGGACAAAAAGAAAAGAAACAAAGTCCAACATCATTCTAAAGAACTGGATGTGACTTCACATTCTTGTGTAAATAATAAGAAAAGAAGAAGAAGAAGAAGAAGAAGGAGAAGGAGAAGGAGAAGGAGAAGGAGAAGAAGATGATCACATACTCAGCCCATGCAAGAAGATTGTACAAGCTAATTATAAACAGTGATATAACATAGTTGCCAAAATTATTCATGAACGTCTGTAAAAATTATCATGTGGTAGTAATAAAAAACTGGGGGAATATGTCATTAAAAATAGTTGAAAATGAGCAGGTAAAAATATTGTGGGGTTTCTGAATGCATACTAACAAATCTTCTTGCATGGAATATTGAATTTATCAGCTTTGAACATCCTAATTTTACAAAAAACAAAACCAAAAAACCCCTCTCCATCCTGCTTGGAATCGCCTATATTTTTAGTTCCTGCCTTAATAATTTTTAGGTCTATATTTAGGACTTGTATTAAGTTTCCACCAGCCTTAGACAGGGGAAGGTGGGTAGGAGGAGGAGGAGGTTGAGAAAATGATTCTTACTGGGAGATTGTTGCAGTAAATGAGATGTGAGATATAAACTCTATGTCCAGTTACATGACTTGCTGTAACAGACTGATGACAACCACTGAAGTAAGTCAGAAATACGGAATGATGACAGCTGTCAAGCGTAGCCCAAGAACAATGTATCACAATCCAGCCAAAAGTCTTTATTTGCCCAAACTGGATAGATAGAATCTTGCCAGACTAAACCTAGACTACCCTAACTTAATAGACGTACCCTGGAAGATTCTAGGGCAGTGATGGTTAACTTTTTTGGTGCCGAGTGCCCAAAGCGAGCATGCACGAATGCACATATGTGTGCCTGAACCCCCAAAATGCAATGCAAGTCCCCCCCTACGCATGTGCCCCCCGTGCATGAACCCCTCGCCTCCCATGCATGCGCCCTGGCTCTCCCATGCCCCGTTTTGGCTTCTAGAATGATGCAGGAGGCTCTATTTTGGGCCTGGAAAGCCTCCTACATCAACCTGCACTCCCCTGTGCATGTGCCCCGCCCCTGTGCATGCGCAGCAGAGACCCGAAGACCAACTGACCGGTGGGAGGCATGCACACATGCACGGTGGAGCTGGGCTGGAGCAACAGCTGGCGTGCCCACAGAGAAGGCTCTGCATGCCACCTGTGGCACGCGTGCCATAGGTTCGCCATCAGGTTCTAGGGAGTGGCTATCCTAAATCCCTTCATGTTCTCAATATCTAGTTCTGAACTATGCTGTCCCTTGTCTAACCCTCTTCCTTGGAATGTGCTTCCTCCTTCCTGGGAACCTGCTGCATTATTGGAGTCCATGACATCACTTCCCCCTTTGTTGACACACTCGTCACTTGAATGACAGTAGACTTCAAACAGTGTAAGAATTATGCCCCACTAGTGCAACTGATAATACATTATGCTCTGATAATGCATAGGAACTTGAAAGTGTTCTATGAAAGTTGCATGCTCTTTTTAAATTTTTAACCTGTTAAAATATTGATGCTTTTTTTTTTTAAGGAAGAAATGATAAAAACACAAAAGCAGAGAATATGAACAACTGCGCACAACTGATTACCCCACATTCTCCATCCTACCAAACTCATTGCTATATAAATCAAGACAAACGCAACATCTTCAAAACCCCCAATTCAGCATCCTATAAGGGATAGCTGGAAAATGCAACCTGCCTCTTTCTGAGCTCAGGAGGTACCAAACACTGACTTCTTCATTTGATGTTCCTGCCATGTGTGGGAGTTGGAAAACTATTAGTAGATGCAGGAACAATTTCTTTCTTACAGAATCCTGTTTAATCATTCAGCCTATAAATAAGCCCACAAAGCTTTAAATGTGAGGCATGTACTTTGTTCTAATGGTGATTATTTTTCTACCAGCCATGCAACCTGAGAATGGATTGGAAACAGAAGACACTTCTCCCAAAGGTTGGAAGAAATGGAGGGGTTTTATTTTCTCAACCTTATTAAAATTCATCCAGTTTAGAGGCTACCTCAGTGACTGCAGCACTGCTGGGTGACATACAACTCTACAATCAGAAGCCAAAGGAAAAAATATCACTATTAATGATATCAGCTTTAACAGCTCACATTAGAGTAACTGTAACCATCGCCATCAATCAAATTGAAAAAAGGTCACAAATCACCCTGCCCTACTAGAATTAATTAAGCAGCAGTATATAATTTAGAAGGCTCTAATAGCAGTATAGAGTTATGGCTATTTTGTCTGCATTAACAGCAGGTATAGGGTTAAAAGTCTTTCTGGCTTTTATGGGAAATCCCCAATGCTACTGATGGAATCCAATGAATAGTCCAAATCACTATGGTAGTCCTCATCTAGTGACCATTCACAGTTGCAGTGGTGATAAAAAAAAGCTACTTTACAATCAATCCTTGCATTTTTGACCTTTACGGGTCTGTAAAGGAAAGCTGAAGTAAGATCATGAGCACAGTTATGGTTTCACTTGGCAATCACTTTGCTTAACAACTGAGTTGCTGGTCCCTATTGTCTCTAAGCAAGGACTTCCTGTATTTCAATGTTTCTCAACCCTGCCAATTGTAAGATGTGGGGACTTCAATTCCCAGAATCCCCCAGCGAGTATGGGGAATTCTGGGATTTGAAGTCCCCACATCTTAAAATTGTGAAGGTTGAGAAACACTGTGCAACTTTATTTATGATTACTATCTAAATAATTCTGTATCATTGCCTCCCTCCCCACTGCAAAAATTCTTCCTTATCACTCCTTTCCCTCACCCTTCTCATGGGAATTTACCGATATTTTTGATGAAATGTATGTGATTCACGAAAGCTTACATTTTAGCCTTTAAGTTGCCATAAGATTCCAGGTTAGTCTTTTTGATCTCTCTGTGGAGATAAACTTTTATCCAAGCAATCTCACATCTAAAGCTTGAAATGAGGAGCATATATTTTCTGAAGAGTCTTTTCTCAAACACTGTTATTCCACCTTCACCTCAAATATTAATGTAGGTAAAAGGATATACGTCTGCCCAGATTCTTTTTTTTCCCTTTCCCTTGTCTTGTGCATTCTTCCCCTTCTCTGTTTTTTGCAGCTTACTGATCTGAAAAGCAGAATCCAGAATGAAAAGTGGCTGAATGTCTTGATGCAGACGGATGCTTGTAGGTTTCCATACAGGGCCATTCATGATGTATTATTAAAACTAAATCTTAGTCAGAGGTTTTAGCTACAAATCTCTTCAGGCAAGGAGCAGAGATCTGTTTTTTTTGGGTTAATCTATTATACACATACCAATAATATGTTTTATTTACACTGGAGTATTTTATTGAATGCAGCATTGTGAACGCCATTGTTATAGCAGAATATCATTGGCATTTCTGGGAAGTGGTGCATTTTTCCTTCTCTCTCTAAGCTCTGCCATTGAAATTTTATTTTCCCCTTTTTCCTTTTTATGAGTACCTTTTTAAAAATTTCTGCAGAGAGAAAATGCTTCTCCTGCTACACTGCTCAGATAGGTAGTGTGCACTCATGCATCTTTTCGTCATGGCAAAACAACTCCCTAAGAAAACCAACAAACCGGAGAAGTCTGAACAAGCTTTTATTAGTCTGAAAGAGATTCCAGGGAGTCTCTTGTCTTTTGCACTCAGGTGAGAGAACAGCAAGAACCACAAGGTGAAATAGATATTATATGAAATGTTGATCAGAGAGAGTGAGAAGGTGAGCACAGTCCCAGAAGATGGGAAGCAGTCTACAGAAAGAATTGGTTTGCCACTGATAAAAGAAACAAGATAACCACAAAAGTTGAACTTCGATATCTTTCATGGCGTGAAAAGATTACAGGTGCATTCCTTGAAATGCAACATAACAGCTTTGATATACGACTTATTCCAAGTCTCTAATTGTTATTCCAACAAGCAATCCTTGCATTTCACTGCAGGAGGAAGAATGATAAGGAAACACTTTGAAGGCCTCCTCTCAAGGTGTTAACTCTCAGTTAGGGGGTTCTGAATGGCCCATAATAAAAAATTCATTTGGGATGATATTACATGACAAATGACTTCTATGAGCCTAAAGAAACATATGGCAGCATTACACATGTGCATGAGCAAGATTACATACGGTAATTCAACCACAGTTCTACAGAAAGACAGCAAGATCATTCCTTCATAGCAGCAATGCCCCCAAAAGCCATTTTTGCCATATGTCTTCCCATTGTCTACATTGCTTCACCTTCTGCTTTGCATGCAGCATAGAACATAAGTAACCCTATAGATGTAGATAGAATGATGAGAGATCAGGAGAAGCAGAAAGGATTGGCACCCATGCGACTTATATCATCTTAGGTTAATCCTTTCCTCAAGTCAGTTTGCCTCTTTTCAAGCATAAAACACACCTTTTTTTCCAAAACAACGATGAAGCTCTCTCAGCCTCTGGATATGCACTCTCTCTCCCTGTCCTCTCTCTCCCTCCCTCCCTCCCTCCCCCATCTCTCTCACATACACACACATACACCTCCCTTTGCACAACATTATGACTTATAAGACATTGCATTGATATTTCAGCTAGTACAGCACTAAAAATAAAACCCTGTCCACAATATATTAGGAATCTGAAGGTGATTTTTGCCCATTAAGAAAAGCAAGAAAACCAAAACAGAATTAAGAAGTGAATAATCGGTAGATTAAATCAGACCATGCCATCACAAGGCACTAGAGTTGTGGGAAGCTTTGTCTTTGAAGCTTTTAGCTAATATTGGGGAAAACAGTCTGTGTTAAATCAGTGGAAAGTAATTGCCTAGAAAGGATGCTAAAAGTCTACACTTGGGAAAAATAAATGAGGGGACGAGAAAGGAGAATTAATATTCCTTCTTTGCATATTGGGATGGGCAGATGAAACTAGAGTGGGACCCTCTGATAGATTTCTGCGCTATTCTGCAGAGGGTTTTGATTCTCAAATATCTAAAATAGCATATGCATTATGCTATTCCCTTTCAAGTCCAGCAATGTTATGGAAAGCACAAAAAAAAGGAGTGAGAGTAAGAAAAAAAAATAGCAGCAGGAGATAAAAGACATTAAATCTAGTTTGCACAACACATTTCCCTACACTCCTCCTTTCCAAGCCATGCAAAACATCCTTGCTTCCACCATGTTGATGCGCCAATTCATAGGTTGCCTTTTGTTCTTTAAACGCATCACTCTTTTTCTCACTTTCTTCCCTTTCTATCAAATAATTCACTCTTGCTCTTTATATTAATTTTGTGATTTGATCTTCACTTATTCCCAATAGCATCAAATCCCTCTGCATATTTATTTCTTACACATTTTTTGTATTCAAACCACATTCATTCATCACTCGTTCACTCTTGACCCTATCTCTCCTTGCTTTATTACACTTTTTAAAAATAATCCATTCTCATTACATGCAACTTATATTTTCTCCTGACATACCCAGCTATCATCTGCATGTAACAAAATAGGCAGACATATCCTATTACATAGAGCTATTGTCACTTATTTTAAGACACATTCATTATTCAAAATAGATTAGCATTTACATGTCTTACATTTTATTTCTCCATTGGACAATCTTTGACCTGTTGAATGATTTCAGAGGAAAAAAATCAGCGGGAGCCAATATAACTTTCAAGTTCCTGTCAACCTCGCTATTGAGATTCCTTGTGGGAACTGGCAGGGACCATCAGAAATCTTCCATCTTTTCCTCCTTGTTCCTTCCTTCCTTCCTACTTTCATCCCTTCTACCCTCTCTCTTCTTTACTTCCTGTTCCTGTCTTCCTCCCTCCATTTCTCCCTCCTCCTTTCCTCCCTCTTTCCTTTCTTCCCTCCACTCATCCTTTCCTTCTCTCTCTCTCCCTCCCTCCCTTTAATTGGGTTCACTTTGCTAGAGGTTCCTTGTTTTGCCATATTTACTCAATTCCCCCCCCGAAAACCTTTTGTTTCCATTAAAAGCAGTCTTCATTTTCTTTGCCAATTTTAATCTTAACAGTTCCTAATGAACTTTGATTACATTCCTTGCAACTATCTTTGTATTTGTACACATAATAATACACTCTATCATTTATTATTTTTGCTATGATGATTCTGTTATATGCATTTTTCTCATCCACAGCCTCTTTCACTTCATCTTTTCAGGAGGCCGTCAAATTTCCTTTTAATAAAATGTCACGTTTGTCTGGCACTTTGTAACATAATTCTTTTTGGTCTGTTTCTAGCAACTTTCATATCCTTTCTTTGTATTCCATTCATTCATTTATTCTGTTGAATGATTAATGTTTTCTTCTAATATTACACAAAACTCATTCTTTGTCATTCTATTTGCACTCTAATTTCTTTTACTTCCTTGTTTTTCCTTCATATCCATTTTTCCCTAGATCAAGTCATGATATTACCAAAATAAGTCTGTTCCACATTCAGAAAAGTTTCATCATTGGTGTATCTTCACTAGTTCTCAGACTTTCAGTATAGACAACCAAATCAACCAAACTTTTAGCATGAATCATCTTTTGCTTAAATCACGCATTTGAAACATTTTTCTAAGCAGATGCCAAACAAACACTATTTTCATTCATTCTCAAAAAGACCGAATTATTTTTCTCTATTGTCTCACCTCATTCCCATCTGTTGTTCAATTCATGTAACAATAAATATTTTCCCCCTGAATTCCATCCATCTAGAATGTTGTACAATTTCCCCCCAAAACC